GCATTCTGGCGTTCGTAGATACAAGAAAACTGTTAAGATTCTTCAGAAACGTCACTTTTGAAGTGTTTTCTTGTACTTTTAAGCCACTCAGATACCCTACGGGCTCGGAAAGTGCAACGAAACCATCAAATTTTAGCTAGAAACTGTATTTTTGTCGATTTTTATTGAATTTGAACTATATTTCAACGTTTTTTGATGGTTCTGAGCCACCAAACACACTTAAAGCATGCAGAATCGACTCAGAATAGGAAAAGGAGACGTTTAGGTCAATTTTATGCATTCTGGCGTTCGTAGATACAAGAAAACTGTTAAAATTCTTCAGAAACGTCACTTTTGAAGTGTTTTCTTGTACTTTTAAGCCACTCAGATACCCTACGGGCTCGGAAAGTGCAACGAAACCATCAAATTTTAGCTAGAAACTGTATTTTTGTCGATTTTTATTGAATTTGAACTATATTTCAACGTTTTTTGATGGTTCTGAGCCACCAAACACACTTAAAGCATGCAGAATCGACTCAGAATAGGAAAAGGAGACGTTTAGGTCAATTTTATGCATTCTGGCGTTCGTAGATACAAGAAAACTGTTAAAATTCTTCAGAAACGTCACTTTTGAAGTGTTTTCTTGTACTTTTAAGCCACTCAGATACCCTACGGGCTCGGAAAGTGCAACGAAACCATCAAATTTTAGCTAGAAACTGTATTTTTGTCGATTTTTATTGAATTTGAACTATATTTCAACGTTTTTTGATGGTTCTGAGCCACCAAACACACTTAAAGCATGCAGAATCGACTCAGAATAGGAAAAGGAGACGTTTAGGTCAATTTTATGCATTCTGGCGTTCGTAGATACAAGAAAACTGTTAAAATTCTTCAGAAACGTCACTTTTGAAGTGTTTTCTTGTACTTTTAAGCCACTCAGATACCCTACGGGCTCGGAAAGTGCAACGAAACCATCAAATTTTAGCTAGAAACTGTATTTTTGTCGATTTTTATTGAATTTGAACTATATTTCAACGTTTTTTGATGGTTCTGAGCCACCAAACACACTTAAAGCATGCAGAATCGACTCAGAATAGGAAAAGGAGACGTTTAGGTCAATGTTATGCATTCTGGGGTTCGTAGATACAAGAAAACTGTTAAAATTCTTCAGAAACGTCACTTTTGAAGTGTTTTCTTGTACTTTTAAGCCACTCAGATACCCTACGGGCTCGGAAAGTGCAACGAAACCATCAAATTTTAGCTAGAAACTGTATTTTTGTCGATTTTTATTGAATTTGAACTATATTTCAACGTTTTTTGATGGTTCTGAGCCACCAAACACACTTAAAGCATGCAGAATCGACTCAGAATAGGAAAAGGAGACGTTTAGGTCAATTTTATGCATTCTGGCGTTCGTAGATACAAGAAAACTGTTAAAATTCTTCAGAAACGTCACTTTTGAAGTGTTTTCTTGTACTTTTAAGCCACTCAGATACCCTACGGGCTCGGAAAGTGCAACGAAACCATCAAATTTTAGCTAGAAACTGTATTTTTGTCGATTTTTATTGAATTTGAACTATATTTCAACGTTTTTTGATGGTTCTGAGCCACCAAACACACTTAAAGCATGCAGAATCGACTCAGAATAGGAGAAGGAGACGTTTAGGTCAATTTTATGCATTCTGGCGTTCGTAGATACAAGAAAACTGTTAAAATTCTTCAGAAACGTCACTTTTGAAGTGTTTTCTTGTACTTTTAAGCCACTCAGATACCCTACGGGCTCGGAAAGTGCAACAAAACCATCAAATTTTAGCTAGAAACTGTATTTTTGTCGATTTTTATTGAATTTGAACTATATTTCAACGTTTTTTGATGGTTCTGAGCCACCAAACACACTTAAAGCATGCAGAATCGACTCAGAATAGGAAAAGGAGACGTTTAGGTCAATTTTATGCATTCTGGCGTTCGTAGATACAAGAAAACTGTTAAAATTCTTCAGAAACGTCACTTTTGAAGTGTTTTCTTGTACTTTTAAGCCACTCAGATACCCTACGGGCTCGGAAAGTGCAACGAAACCATCAAATTTTAGCTAGAAACTGTATTTTTGTCGATTTTTATTGAATTTGAACTATATTTCAACGTTTTTTGATGGTTCTGAGCCACCAAACACACCTAAAGCATGCAGAATCGACTCAGAATAGGAAAAGGAGACGTTTAGGTCAATTTTATGCATTCTGGCGTTCGTAGATACAAGAAAACTGTTAAAATTCTTCAGAAACGTCACTTTTGAAGTGTTTTCTTGTACTTTTAAGCCACTCAGATACCCTACGGGCTCGGAAAGTGCAACGAAACCATCAAATTTTAGCTAGAAACTGTATTTTTGTCGATTTTTATTGAATTTGAACTATATTTCAACGTTTTTTGATGGTTCTGAGCCACCAAACACACTTAAAGCATGCAGAATCGACTCAGAATAGGAAAAGGAGACGTTTAGGTCAATTTTATGCATTCTGGCGTTCGTAGATACAAGAAAACTGTTAAGATTCTTCAGAAACGTCACTTTTGAAGTGTTTTCTTGTACTTTTAAGCCACTCAGATACCCTACGGGCTCGGAAAGTGCAACGAAACCATCAAATTTTAGCTAGAAACTGTATTTTTGTCGATTTTTATTGAATTTGAACTATATTTCAACGTTTTTTGATGGTTCTGAGCCACCAAACACACTTAAAGCATGCAGAATCGACTCAGAATAGGAAAAGGAGACGTTTAGGTCAATTTTATGCATTCTGGCGTTCGTAGATACAAGAAAACTGTTAAGATTCTTCAGAAACGTCACTTTTGAAGTGTTTTCTTGTACTTTTAAGCCACTCAGATACCCTACGGGCTCGGAAAGTGCAACGAAACCATCCAATTTTAGCTAGAAACTGTATTTTTGTCGATTTTTATTGAATTTGAACTATATTTCAACGTTTTTTGATGGTTCTGAGCCACCAAACACACTTAAAGCATGCAGAATCGACTCAGAATAGGAAAAGGAGACGTTTAGGTCAATTTTATGCATTCTGGCGTTCGTAGATACAAGAACTCTGTTAAAATTCTTCAGAAACGTCACTTTTGAAGTGTTTTCTTGTACTTTTAAGCCACTCAGATACCCTACGGGCTCGGAAAGTGCAACGAAACCATCAAATTTTAGCTAGAAACTGTATTTTTGTCGATTTTTATTGAATTTGAACTATATTTCAACGTTTTTTGATGGTTCTGAGCCACCAAACACACTTAAAGCATGCAGAATCGACTCAGAATAGGAAAAGGAGACGTTTAGGTCAATTTTATGCATTCTGGCGTTCGTAGATACAAGAAAACTGTTAAGATTCTTCAGAAACGTCACTTTTGAAGTGTTTTCTTGTACTTTTAAGCCACTCAGATACCCTACGGGCTCGGAAAGTGCAACGAAACCATCAAATTTTAGCTAGAAACTGTATTTTTGTCGATTTTTATTGAATTTGAACTATATTTCAACGTTTTTTGATGGTTCTGAGCCACCAAACACATTTAAAGCATGCAGAATCGACTCTGAATAGGAAAAGGAGACGTTTAGGTCAATTTTATGCATTCTGGCGTTCGTAGATACAAGAAAACTGTTAAGATTCTTCAGAAACGTCACTTTTGAAGTGTTTTCTTGTACTTTTAAGCCACTCAGATACCCTACGGGCTCGGAAAGTGCAACGAAACCATCAAATTTTAGCTAGAAACTGTATTTTTGTCGATTTTTATTGAATTTGAACTATATTTCAACGTTTTTTGATGGTTCTGAGCCACCAAACACACTTAAAGCATGCAGAATCGACTCAGAATAGGAAAAGGAGACGTTTAGGTCAATTTTATGCATTCTGGCGTTCGTAGATACAAGAAAACTGTTAAAATTCTTCAGAAACGTCACTTTTGAAGTGTTTTCTTGTACTTTTAAGCCACTCAGATACCCTACGGGCTCGGAAAGTGCAACGAAACCATCAAATTTTAGCTAGAAACTGTATTTTTGTCGATTTTTATTGAATTTGAACTATATTTCAACGTTTTTTGATGGTTCTGAGCCACCAAACACACTTAAAGCATGCAGAATCGACTCAGAATAGGAAAAGGAGACGTTTAGGTCAATTTTATGCATTCTGGCGTTCGTAGATACAAGAAAACTGTTAAAATTCTTCAGAAACGTCACTTTTGAAGTGTTTTCTTGTACTTTTAAGCCACTCAGATACCCTACGGGCTCGGAAAGTGCAACGAAACCATCAAATTTTAGCTAGAAACTGTATTTTTGTTGATTTTTATTGAATTTGAACTATATTTCAACGTTTTTTGATGGTTCTGAGCCACCAAACACACTTAAAGCATGCAGAATCGACTCAGAATAGGAAAAGGAGACGTTTTGGTCAATTTTATGCATTCTGGCGTTCGTAGATACAAGAAAACTGTTAAGATTCTTCAGAAACGTCACTTTTGAAGTGTTTTCTTGTACTTTTAAGCCACTCAGATACCCTACGGGCTCGGAAAGTGCAACGAAACCATCAAATTTTAGCTAGAAACTGTATTTTTGTCGATTTTTATTGAATTTGAACTATATTTCAACGTTTTTTGATGGTTCTGAGCCACCAAACACACTTAACCCTCATAATACCGTGGGGTCATTGGAGACCCCAAGCGCAGTTTGAACGTGTTTTTCTATTGAAATTTTTTTATTTTAAATTCTGAAAAAAATTGACTTTTCTTAACTTCTTGTTTTCTTAGTTTGGCTAAAGCAGAATTTTTGTAGCTAGCATAATTTTATCAAAAAATGATAAGATCACACGTAGTACCATTGGGGTCATCAGCGACCCCAGTTACAAAATAAGTGATTTTAAAATTTTCATCGATTTCTTTCCTTATTTTGATATTTTCCTGGTCTATATATGTTTCTTAGCTTCACTGGCGTATCATTTGCTCGTTCAGTGCTTCCCTGGTTTCTACACGGGTAATATAATTTTAAGATTTTTTACTGGTAATCCCGTTTTCTCACTCTTTTCCTGTTGCCCGGTGCTCCCCCGAATTTTGTGTTAGTGCTGTATACACTGCGTTTATGCAAGTTGCATTGTTCTTGTTCATTCGATCGAAAGTCATGGCTGGAAGAAGTTCGGTTCGTTTAGGCGACAAAGGTGCGGAAGATGTTTTACTAGAGTGGTTTCGAGAATGTGATAATGATGTTGAAGTTGACGAGAATGTTACTGCTAATTCAGATGATAGCGAAGAAGAGGATTTGACTGAAGTGCAGTCAGAATACGACTCCGAAAATACGTCCGCCGCAGAACCTGTATCTGCTAATAGTGAAAAGCAACAACTAAATTTTCTTATGTAAGTTTTTCATTATTTTCAAAATTATGACAGAAAATGTTTAGATGGTACTTACTTCAGGTCGAAAAATAAACTCGAAAAATGGTACTTAGACCCACTAACACACAGAACAGGACGACAACCAGTGCGCAACATTATGCATCAAGAAGAAGGACCTACAAGATATACTAGGCGGAACGTGGACACAATTTGCAGTAGTTTTCAACTATTTTTCAGAGATAATATTGTAAATCACATTGTTCAGTGGACTAATGCAGAAGGTCAACTGAAGTACGGAGACGTATGGAAAACCATGGACGCGAATGAGTTTCTACGTTTTGTTGGTTTGCTAATCCTGGCAGGAGATTACAAATCTCATAATGAAGGACTTACGAATTTGTGGAATGTAGAAGATGGCCGTCCTATATTCAACAAAACTATGAGCAGAAACAGGTTTACCATAATTTCTCAATGTCTGCGTTTTGATAATGCTGAAGCCAGAAGAAAAAATCGAGATTCGGACAAGTTATCACCGATCAGAACACTTCTTGAATTATGGATACCCACATTGCAAGATTCATACAGCAACAAACGCAAAAGCTAAAACGAGGTAGATGTTGGAAATGTGCCAGCAACTTGGATAGAAAGTACTCCAGAAGATGCCAATATTGTAGTCGTTTGGTTTGCAACGAACATCAGCAAATAATTTGTGTAGAATGTTCAACAGAATTATATATATATTTTTTTAATGTTATGAAGAATATTATATTATGATTTTAAATTTTATAATAGTTTTTAAATGTTTAATAAATAAAAATATCAATTCTAACAAACTTTAAAACAATTTTAAGTACAAAGTAATATTAGAAAGTATGGGGTCACTACAGACCCCACCGGTATTACGTGCCACAAAAAAAGTTTGGTATTATGAGGGTTAAAGCATGCAGAATCGACTCAGAATAGGAAAAGGAGACGTTTAGGTCAATTTTATGCATTCTGGCGTTCGTAGATACAAGAACTCTGTTAAAATTCTTCAGAAACGTCACTTTTGAAGTGTTTTCTTGTACTTTTAAGCCACTCAGATACCCTACGGGCTCGGAAAGTGCAACGAAACCATCAAATTTTAGCTAGAAACTGTATTTTTGTCGATTTTTATTGAATTTGAACTATATTTCAACGTTTTTTGATGGTTCTGAGCCACCAAACACACTTAAAGCATGCAGAATCGACTCTGAATAGGAAAAGGAGACGTTTAGGTCAATTTTATGCATTCTGGCGTTCGTAGATACAAGAAAACTGTTAAGATTCTTCAGAAACGTCACTTTTGAAGTGTTTTCTTGTACTTTTAAGCCACTCAGATACCCTACGGGCTCGGAAAGTGCAACGAAACCATCAAATTTTAGCTAGAAACTGTATTTTTGTCGATTTTTATTGAATTTGAACTATATTTCACGTTTTTTGATGGTTCTGAGCCACCAAACACACTTAAAGCATGCAGAATCGACTCAGAATAGGAAAAGGAGACGTTTAGGTCAATTTTATGCATTCTGGCGTTCGTAGATACAAGAAAACTGTTAAAATTCTTCAGAAACGTCACTTTTGAAGTGTTTTCTTGTACTTTTAAGCCACTCAGATACCCTACGGGCTCGGAAAGTGCAACGAAACCATCAAATTTTAGCTAGAAACTGTATTTTTGTCGATTTTTATTGAATTTGAACTATATTTCAACGTTTTTTGATGGTTCTGAGCCACCAAACACACTTAAAGCATGCAGAATCGACTCAGAATAGGAAAAGGAGACGTTTAGGTCAATTTTATGCATTCTGGCGTTCGTAGATACAAGAAAACTGTTAAAATTCTTCAGAAACGTCACTTTTGAAGTGTTTTCTTGTACTTTTAAGCCACTCAGATACCCTACGGGCTCGGAAAGTGCAACGAAACCATCAAATTTTAGCTAGAAACTGTATTTTTGTTGATTTTTATTGAATTTGAACTATATTTCAACGTTTTTTGATGGTTCTGAGCCACCAAACACACTTAAAGCATGCAGAATCGACTCAGAATAGGAAAAGGAGACGTTTAGGTCAATTTTATGCATTCTGGCGTTCGTAGATACAAGAAAACTGTTAAAATTCTTCAGAAACGTCACTTTTGAAGTGTTTTCTTGTACTTTTAAGCCACTCAGATACCCTACGGGCTCGGAAAGTGCAACGAAACCATCAAATTTTAGCTAGAAACTGTATTTTTGTCGATTTTTATTGAATTTGAACTATATTTCAACGTTTTTTGATGGTTCTGAGCCACCAAACACACTTAAAGCATGCAGAATCGACTCAGAATAGGAAAAGGAGACGTTTAGGTCAATTTTATGCATTCTGGCGTTCGTAGATACAAGAAAACTGTTAAAATTCTTCAGAAACGTCACTTTTGAAGTGTTTTCTTGTACTTTTAAGCCACTCAGATACCCTACGGGCTCGGAAAGTGCAACGAAACCATCAAATTTTAGCTAGAAACTGTATTTTTGTCGATTTTTATTGAATTTGAACTATATTTCAACGTTTTTTGATGGTTCTGAGCCACCAAACACACTTAAAGCATGCAGAATCGACTCAGAATAGGAAAAGGAGACGTTTAGGTCAATTTTATGCATTCTGGCGTTCGTAGATACAAGAAAACTGTTAAAATTCTTCAGAAACGTCACTTTTGAAGTGTTTTCTTGTACTTTTAAGCCACTCAGATACCCTACGGGCTCGGAAAGTGCAACGAAACCATCAAATTTTAGCTAGAAACTGTATTTTTGTCGATTTTTATTGAATTTGAACTATATTTCAACGTTTTTTGATGGTTCTGAGCCACCAAACACACTTAAAGCATGCAGAATCGACTCAGAATAGGAAAAGGAGACGTTTAGGTCAATTTTATGCATTCTGGCGTTCGTAGATACAAGAAAACTGTTAAAATTCTTCAGAAACGTCACTTTTGAAGTGTTTTCTTGTACTTTTAAGCCACTCAGATACCCTACGGGCTCGGAAAGTGCAACGAAACCATCAAATTTTAGCTAGAAACTGTATTTTTGTCGATTTTTATTGAATTTGAACTATATTTCAACGTTTTTTGATGGTTCTGAGCCACCAAACACACTTAAAGCATGCAGAATCGACTCAGAATAGGAAAAGGAGACGTTTAGGTCAATTTTATGCATTCTGGCGTTCGTAGATACAAGAAAACTGTTAAAATTCTTCAGAAACGTCACTTTTGAAGTGTTTTCTTGTACTTTTAAGCCACTCAGATACCCTACGGGCTCGGAAAGTGCAACGAAACCATCAAATTTTAGCTAGAAACTGTATTTTTGTCGATTTTTATTGAATTTGAACTATATTTCAACGTTTTTTGATGGTTCTGAGCCACCAAACACACTTAAAGCATGCAGAATCGACTCAGAATAGGAAAAGGAGACGTTTGGGTCAATTTTATGCATTCTGGCGTTCGTAGATACAAGAAAACTGTTAAAATTCTTCAGAAACGTCACTTTTGAAGTGTTTTCTTGTACTTTTAAGCCACTCAGATACCCTACGGGCTCGGAAAGTGCAACGAAACCATCAAATTTTAGCTAGAAACTGTATTTTTGTCGATTTTTATTGAATTTGAACTATATTTCAACGTTTTTTGATGGTTCTGAGCCACCAAACACACTTAAAGCATGCAGAATCGACTCAGAATAGGAAAAGGAGACGTTTAGGTCAATTTTATGCATTCTGGCGTTCGTAGATACAAGAAAACTGTTAAAATTCTTCAGAAACGTCACTTTTGAAGTGTTTTCTTGTACTTTTAAGCCACTCAGATACCCTACGGGCTCGGAAAGTGCAACGAAACCATCAAATTTTAGCTAGAAACTGTATTTTTGTCGATTTTTATTGAATTTGAACTATATTTCAACGTTTTTTGATGGTTCTGAGCCACCAAACACACTTAAAGCATGCAGAATCGACTCAGAATAGGAAAAGGAGACGTTTAGGTCAATTTTATGCATTCTGGCGTTCGTAGATACAAGAAAACTGTTAAGATTCTTCAGAAACGTCACTTTAGAAGTGTTTTCTTGTACTTTTAAGCCACTCAGATACTCTACGGGCTCGGAAAGTGCAACGAAACCATCAAATTTTAGCTAGAAACTGTATTTTTGTCGATTTTTATTGAATTTGAACTATATTTCAACGTTTTTTGATGGTTCTGAGCCACCAAACACACTTAAAGCATGCAGAATCGACTCAGAATAGGAAAAGGAGACGTTTAGGTCAATTTTATGCATTCTGGCGTTCGTAGATACAAGAAAACTGTTAAAATTCTTCAGAAACGTCACTTTTGAAGTGTTTTCTTGTACTTTTAAGCCACTCAGATACCCTACGGGCTCGGAAAGTGCAACGAAACCATCAAATTTTAGCTAGAAACTGTATTTTTGTCGATTTTTATTGAATTTGAACTATATTTCAACGTTTTTTGATGGTTCTGAGCCACCAAACACACTTAAAGCATGCAGAATCGACTCAGAATAGGAAAAGGAGACGTTTAGGTCAATTTTATGCATTCTGGCGTTCGTAGATACAAGAAAACTGTTAAAATTCTTCAGAAACGTCACTTTTGAAGTGTTTTCTTGTACTTTTAAGCCACTCAGATACCCTACGGGCTCGGAAAGTGCAACGAAACCTTCAAATTTTAGCTAGAAACTGTATTTTTGTCGATTTTTATTGAATTTGAACTATATTTCAACGTTTTTTGATGGTTCTGAGCCACCAAACACACTTAAAGCATGCAGAATCGACTCAGAATAGGAAAAGGAGACGTTTAGGTCAATTTTATGCATTCTGGCGTTCGTAGATACAAGAAAACTGTTAAAATTCTTCAGAAACGTCACTTTTGAAGTGTTTTCTTGTACTTTTAAGCCACTCAGATACCCTACGGGCTCGGAAAGTGCAACGAAACCATCAAATTTTAGCTAGAAACTGTATTTTTGTCGATTTTTATTGAATTTGAACTATATTTCAACGTTTTTTGATGGTTCTGAGCCACCAAACACACTTAAAGCATGCAGAATCGACTCAGAATAGGAAAAGGAGACGTTTAGGTCAATTTTATGCATTCTGGCGTTCGTAGATACAAGAAAACTGTTAAAATTCTTCAGAAACGTCACTTTTGAAGTGTTTTCTTGTACTTTTAAGCCACTCAGATACCCTACGGGCTCGGAAAGTGCAACGAAACCATCAAATTTTAGCTAGAAACTGTATTTTTGTTGATTTTTATTGAATTTGAACTATATTTCAACGTTTTTTGATGGTTCTGAGCCACCAAACACACTTAAAGCATGCAGAATCGACTCAGAATAGGAAAAGGAGACGTTTAGGTCAATTTTATGCATTCTGGCGTTCGTAGATACAAGAAAACTGTTAAAATTCTTCAGAAACGTCACTTTTGAAGTGTTTTCTTGTACTTTTAAGCCACTCAGATACCCTACGGGCTCGGAAAGTGCAACGAAACCATCAAATTTTAGCTAGAAACTGTATTTTTGTCGATTTTTATTGAATTTGAACTATATTTCAACGTTTTTTGATGGTTCTGAGCCACCAAACACACTTAAAGCATGCAGAATCGACTCAGAATAGGAAAAGGAGAC